TTTATGGATTGTGATGCATCATTTTGGTTTGTACCTTGTGCAGTTCCATCAGTACCAGGTGGTTGGGAGAGCTCTGCCGACTGAGGCGGAGGAGCATCCGAAGATCTACCGGATGAAGCTCTGGGCCACCAATGAGGTGCGCGCGAAGTCTAAGTTCTGGTACGGTTCAATCACTCATCGCCTTCGTGTGTTTGTGTTTGCCTGCACGCTCTATATGGAGATGCTTTATTTGTAGGGGAGTAAAGATAATATGAATTTATCATTATAGTGAGCTTAATTTTGCTGCAGGATTTGTTCAAATTGTCATTATCATTTTAGTGAGCTTAATTTTGCTGCAGTGTTTGTTCAAATTGTCATTTGCAATGGGAATGTTTAGATGATTGTTCGATATGTAGGAATGTTTCTTGATGTTATATTTTAACTGAAATTGAAATTGGAAAGGGTACATTTACTTCAGCTTTGGGAGTGTGTTTCTTTTGCTTATTTTGAAAGTGGGAGCAAGATGTATGAGTGAGTTTTTTTAATGTTGGACTCATTTGATGTTTTGGTGCAGTATTTGCTCAAATTGTCGTTTGCAATGGCAATGGTTAGATGATTGTTTGATGTGTAGGAATGGTTCTGGATGTTATTATATTTGCATCGAAATTGAAATTGGAAATGGTAATTCAGCTTTGGGAGTGTGTTTTTTGCTTCATTATTATGGAAAGTGGGGAGCAAGACGTATGAGTGAGTTTTTTTTAATGTTGGACTCATTTGATGTTTTGGTGCAGTATTTGCTCAAATTATCGTTTGCAATGGCAATGGTTAGATGATTGTTTGATGTGTAGGAATGGTTCTGGATGTTATTATATTTGCATCGAAATTGAAATTGGAAATGGTAATTCAGCTTTGGGAGTGTGTTTTTTGCTTCATTATTATGGAAAGTGGGGAGCAAGACGTATGAGTGAGTTTTTTTTAATGTTGGACTCATTTGATGTTTTGGTGCAGTATTTGCTCAAATTGTCGTTTGCAATGGAAATGGTTAGATGATTGTTTGATGTGTAGGAATGGTTCTGGATGTTATTATATTTGCATCGAAATTGAAATTGGAAATGGTAATTCAGCTTTGGGAGTGTGTTTTTTGCTTCATTATTATGGAAAGTGGGGAGCAAGATGTATGAGTGAGTTCTTTTAATGTTGGACTTGTGACTTATTTGATGATTCTCAATGTAGGTACTTTTTGAGGAAGCTTAAGAAGGTGAAAAAGAGCAACGGCCAGGTTCTTGCTATCAATGAGGTATGCTGATCTCTTGCAAATTCTATGATTATGTTCTTGAATGGGTGATCTATTGTATGTTTCGTTATCTTGGAGTGTGCTCGAACCACATTTTTTGCACACGTGTTTTTGGTCTTGTTGCTTTATATTTTGTGATGAACTGCAGTTCGTACATGTGCTGCCACTTTCTTTTGTGCTTGTTATCTGCTTGTAAATGAAATTGGTTTCAGTAACTTTCCTTGAAAGTGAATCTTAAAATAAAAAATAAAAGAAAAAATGCTTAAAATATGGTTGTCCTCATTTCTGCATCTTTTCATCAAAGCACCTACTATCTGGATATGTATTGGTTGTTTTTGCTGCAATTCTACCAAAAAAACCCATTTTGATAGTCATCATCATGATTTCTGATATTGTTTTACTTAAAAATACTTTATAATTTCATACAATGTATATTCTTTTTTTAATTTCCAACATCTTCTGTGTTCAAATCCACTTAATTTCAAATGTATAACCATTTTTTGTTTCTCACATTTCGAATACTAAAATTGTGTTTGGTAAACATATAAGCTAGCTCATAGCTTATTTGATTAGCTTACAAGATTTCTTTATTCAAATAAACTTTGTTTGCTTGGTTTGGTAGGATAGGCTTTTAAAAAAAGCTTGAGTTTTTCTCACACAACTTCCTTGAATATTTTTTACCAAAACCCTTTTATCATTTAAGTTAGTTTTTTCAACCAAAAGTTGTAATCTATCAGCTTTAAGTTCAAAATTCACTTAAAAGCTAGTTTAAAACTAGGTGAACTAACTATGTCTACCAAAAATAGCCTAAATTTTCTTCGTTTACATGATAGATTTTTGAGAAGAACCCGACCACCATCAAGAATTTTGGGATTTGGCTGAGGTACCAGAGCCGAACAGGCTACCACAACATGTACAAGGAGTACCGTGACACGACTTTGAACGGTGCTGTCGAGCAGATGTACACCGAGATGGCTTCCCGACATAGGGTCCGTTGTCACTGCATACAGATCATCAAGACAGCCACAATTCCGGCTAAGCTCTGCAAAAGGGAGAGCACCAAACAGTTTCATGACTCGAAGATCAAGTTCCCGTTGGTATTCAAGAAGGTGAGACCACCCACAAGGAAACTCAAGACCACGTACAAGGCTTCTAAACCCAACTTGTTTATGTAAAAATTGAGTTGGTTTCGTTCTTAAGAGGGTGGATAGTTTCTGCATTTTTGTATTTGCAGAGGGAGGTGAAGGAGGAAAAAAAAAAAAAGACTTGGGCGTTTGAATAACCCATATATCAGTTTTTGTTGAACTTGTTGCATTTTTTTTTTTTTTTTTTTTTTT